CCCTGCCGGTCAGAGGCCGCCCGCCCCTTGCTGACACCGTGGCCGAGAGGAGGGCAGCTTGGAGGGCAGCACGCTCACGGTTTCCAGCGGCCAAGTCCTTCGGGTAGGTGTACTGTCTCCTGACTGTTGCTTTCAGACTGTGGCGCCGGGTCACCCAGCGCGGCCAGCCTTTGTGTCCTGGCTGTGCAGAGAGACTCGGGCCTCCGTTTGTAGGGACTCCCCGAGGGAGGCACAGGTCAGTGCACTGGACGCTAACTGAGAGGGCTGAGTCCATGCAGAAGGGCGCAGAGGAAAGGCCCGGAGATCTACTTCCGCGCTCTCAGCCGCAGAAAACCCTGCAGCATGCATTCCGACCCTGACACACGTGGGGTCGCCACCTGTCAGCACCTCCACAATGGCGGCCGGTTTACCATTTGCGGAGCACACTGTAAACGCCCCCATTGAATGCTCCCATAGTCCTCGGTTGGGGAGCGGGGCAGAGTGATTATGCAAATGTTATGTAATGTAGCTGGTATGGATGTGATGTGATGTGAATGCAGCCTCACTGAAAGAGGACCAGGTAGGAGAGGCAGGTAGCAAAACCGGGACCTGTGTGCTCTGACTCCTAGTCTGGTGCTCCTCTGTGCCACCCTGGCTTGTCTGCCTTCAGATACCCTGTTCCCCGTGCCAGGGGTGGGGCCAGCAGGCAGGAGGGGCATGTTCCACAGGGCACTCAGCACCTGGTGGCCTCCCTCACCTCCGGCCTCCCTCACCTCCGCAGCAGCTGGTCCCCCAGTGCTCTGGGGGCGTGTCTGGTGGCTCTCCATTGCCCCTGTTCTACATGCACCTGGGATACAGTGTTCATGCCGGAGCCCAGGGGCAGAGCAGGGGGACCCTCACAGACCAGCACTGGGACGCCCCACAGGACTGGAGCCAGCGCAGCCCAGCCACAGGAGGGGACTGCACCGAGGGGAGCTGAGGATGGCTTCTGCAGGCCCAGCTAGCGGTGCGTCCAATCCAGTCCCCGAGGACAAAGGACCCCGAGGGAAGTCCCCTGGGCCCTTACCCCAGACACAAAGGTGTTTCCAGTTTCTGAAGGGGCCAGGTCCAGGCAGAGGACGTCGGCCACGTGCCCGTGGAAACTCTGCAGGAGCTGCCCGCTCTCCACGTCCCACAAGGCACATGTCCCGTCACCACTCGCCGTCAGGATCTGAAAGGGACAACATGCTGTTAGCTGCCATCGTCATCCTGACTTCTGGGGGGCCCCAGCATGATGGAGCCCAATACCGCCTTCCCCGGCCCGGCCCGGTTCCAGACCGAATCTCTGTGGTCCACAAGATTCATGGGCTGGTTCTTGCAAGTAAATAGCCAAGCCTTTCTTCTTAGTTCATCTTAGTTTGGAAGCCTTGCCGAAACCTGTTCAGCACCATGGCAACACACAGCATCCACAGAAAGATGGGTGTCAA